TGTGATTAGGGGCGGGAATCATCAGTACAACCCCCTAACCACTTTGTTTGAATGAAAATAGCACAGTCGCAGGATGAGATAGGATTAAAAAAAAACCATGCAAAGAAAAGAGGGGAAAAAATAGAGAAATCTAGACTAACGTGAATGAAGAAAACCGTACATCAATCTCCACAATCACCCTATTGTTAATCCCTGTCCTAACAGAATTTTTTATTTTTCACCGCAGTATGGCGCAGTTCAGCTGATTCTGATGCCCTCTATCAGCAATATGCATGCTCGCCAGCTAAACTGTGATATATTCACCGATTAATTCGATATCTGCCACTCGACACTCTTTTTTTTTGCTCCAAACTTTCAGTTCTTTCGAACTTTCACGGCACTTTTCACGTATTTACTTGGCTGTAGAGCAGATTGGAGAAAGATGATAAGGAAGAATGGAATAGCAACTGCGCAAAAATCTATGTGAAGTAATATTTTGAATGTTTCCCTCATTCAAAAGTGCCTCGACGTGTAAGGATTGGATAGGGGCTTCTCACTTTTCGGCTCTTGCATTTATAAATTTAGAAAAATCTCTAGAATTACCCTGTTTAATGCTTCAATAACGTCGGTAGGTGCAAGATTCAGTTCATCCAGGATTATCCAGTAACCATCACGAGCTGCTTTTACCAACGGACCTTCGACGAACACAAAACGACCATTCCCATCGGGAACATAGGAACCAATATATTCTTGCAAATCAGTGTGCTCGTGATTGTTCAGCCGAATTACTAAATTCCCCGTGATTTTCGCAAGATGTAGCACCTGAAAAAAAAAATGCCAGTGTTCAGGAAAAATAATTTCTTTAAAGAAAGTTAAAAATAATAGAAGGGATCAAAGTAAAATTTTAACTGGAAAATAGCTGCTGGTGAAAGATGGATGCGAAAACCGGCACCAGACAGCAAAGATCTACTCCTTAATCCCCCTTTTTTGGCTGTGTTATTTCATATTCCTTACCACTTTTGCCGGGTTTTTTTCCACTGATCCGCGTTTCAGTCGGCTTTATCACGGATAAAATTGTTGTTAAAGAGCAAAGCTCAGTTACTTGGATTTCAGATCCAAATGTTTAAAAAATACACTCAGACACCGTGCATCAGGCGCCCCAGCTAATACTTTTTAACAATCGCTTACCAGGGCACGGGAAATGTAATTCATTTAAAGTTAGCGGACCAAAGATTAGCATAAGGAACCTCAGGCTCGCATGGAGAAGATAAGGGTTTAAAAACTTATAACTACGCTTGCTCGTCCTCTGCTCCCCTCCTCCTCCTCCCCCCTCCCCACCCTTCCTCAACCCTCCGTTCATCTTTGCTTGTACTCTACAAGCGGGCAATCCTGAATTTCTGAAATGTGTAAGCTCTTTCCGTCCTCGTACTCTGGTGTGGACTAGGCCGTTTTGAAAATGCGCTGATTTTTCTTAGTATCCCAGGTGGATTCAGAGGACGGGCGATGAGTCTTTTGCCCCCCCCCCCCCCCCCCCCCCCCCCCCCCC